AAAAAAAAAGTCTTAGTATTAGATATGATAGCTGGGAAAGCTTTTTTTTTTAACCCTTAATTGTATGCTGCTTGTACAATGTAGACATTTATATTTTGTGTAAAAGGTTTATTTATGCAACCACATGGGGATAAAAGCTATGCCCCTCCTTTCCCACTTTCGTTCCCTGTCTTTTAGATGTGACATACACAGCAGCTTGGCACACTTCACATCTATCCCTAACCCATTTCTCCCTTTTCTTCTGTAGAAGCTGTAAAGTTAAACACTCTATTCCCTACCCTCCCTTCCAGCCAGGAGCAACCATGTGACCCATGTGACTCAATTCCAACCAAGAAGATGAAACCACAAGTTCAATAAACAAAAAGAGAGATTCCATAAGAAAGGAGAGAGTTGGAGCTGGTCTTGCCTTTGCCCTCCTTCCTATCTTGAATTTGGATATGATGCCTGAAGGCATAGCAGCAGATCTTCTACCAAGAGATTATAAACCAACACCTTAAAAATGTTGGGGCTGAAACAAAGAGGGAGCCTAGGTCTTCAGTGACAGCACTGAGCTTCTGTACAGCATTGTGCCAACTTGCTATGTAAGAAAAATACCATTTATTTGTTGAAACAACTTGTGGCTGGCCTTTCTGTTATTTGCAGCCAAGCCCATTCCTGTATGACACATAAGATTTCTTTAATGTGTTTCCTTCCTTATCCCCCTCAACTTCTCTGATAGCTCTTTGTCAATCTCCATCCCAGGCTCCTCTTTCTCTGCCTCTGCCTAAAATACTGAGGTTTCTATGTCTTCTGTCCTCGGTCTGCTCTCATTTCTGGAGTACTTTTCTCCATGGGCACAGTTTCAACTGCCCCTAACATACCAGTGAGTTCCAAATCTAGACCATGCATCTGGGCCTCCATCCTAGATCCTTATTTTCAAGAGATGGAAGACATTTCCCCTTGCATGACCCTGAAGCAAATTCAGCTTATCCACAATTAAATTCATTTTTTCCCATCCAAAGCATACTTTTCCTCCTAATTTTGGTTAGCAGTTTCACTCTCCAGTTATCTGAGATAGCAACTTTGGAATCTTCCATTCTGCTTTTATCCTCACAGGTCACATACAGTTGGTCTGCAGGTGTCCCGAGTCCATCTTCTAAGTTCCTCTGAGGTCAGCTTTCTCCTATATTCCATCAGCCATTGTGCTGGGCCAGATGCCTACTCTCTCTCACCTGGATTCCTGCTCTCATCTCCTAACTGGTCACCTTCTAATTGCCTTCCTACTTTCTCCTTTTAATGCATCTCGATTGCTGGGGTCCACTTTCTACAGCACAGACCTGATCACCTTACTCTACTATTTAAAACACCTGCCAATGCCCTGCCCCTATTGCTCAGGGCCAGAGGTTCTCAAATTTTACTGTGCATCAACATTACCTGAAGGACTTGTTTAAGCTCAGACTGCTGGGCCTTATCTCCAGAATCTCTGATGTAGGTCTGGTGTGGGTACTAAAATGTGCATTTCTAACAAGGTTGGGCATGATGCTGATCAGGGACTACACTGTGAGAACCACTGGCCTAGGCTAAAATTAAAACTCATTAACATCAGCCTTAAGGTCGTTCATATCTAACTTCCCAGTTTCTGGCCATTGCTCAGCACATTCCTTGTCATTTCCAGAATCACCATCCACTGTTACAGAAAATCAACGTATTCTGTTCTGCCTGCCTAGGAAGACCATCCCCCATCTCAGTCCAGCTCTGGCCTTCCCTTTGGAAAAATTAATTTACTGAGTTCTCTACACTCCATTGGCACTTCATACAGAGAACACTTTATATTCCTGCTATTTAACTGTGGTCCTCAGTCAACACTAGGGGCATCACTTGGGAGCTTGTTAGAAATGCAGAATCTCAGGCCCCACACCAGCCAGACCTAGTAAATCAGAATGTGTGCTTTGAGAGGATCCCCACCCAATCCCTGTGCATACCAAAGTGTGAGAAGCAGGGCCTCTTGCAAGGCATTGTGATAGATGCTTTGCTGGCAATATTTCCTTCGATTCCTCGTCCCATAGCTCACATTACCTTCCACAGTTTATAAAAGAGGAAGTGAAAGCTGGTAATATAGCTGGGATTCAAACCCAGGACCATCTAGGCTTCAAAAATCTGCATGCTTTACTATGCCAATTGTCCCCCTATTACAGGTCTTCACATACAGCATTGTAATTATCTATCTATAGGTTTGTCTCCCTGTACATGTAAGGAAATTCTGAGTAGGGCAAAGCCCTGCTGTCTTTAGGCTTCGAGGATGAAAGTGCCCGCTGGAACAAGGAAGAACGTTGGTTACCGTCAAATCCAGTTCTGATAGCAAATTTGGGTAGGATGTGTTTCTTGTAGGAAAGTTTACATGAATTTTAAACTCTAACAACCTTACTGAGATGTAATTCATATACTGTATAATTAACCCTTTTAAAGTGTACAATTCAATGGTTTTTAGTACATTCACAGAATTGTGCAACAGTTGCCACTATCAATTCTCAAACACTTCTTCACACCCAAACTGCAGGCTCATCAGTGGTCGCTCTCCATTCTCCCCCAGGTCCTCCAGCTCTAGCAACCACCAGTATATCTCCTGTCCCTATAGATTTGCCTATTTTGGATGTTTCTTATTAATGTAGTCATACAATAGGTGGCCTTTTGTCACCAGCTTCTTTCCCTTAGCATAATGCTTTTAAAATTCAGCTATGTTGTAGCATGTATCAGCTCCTCTCCCTTTCATTGCTGAATGAGATTCCATGGCATGATAAAATGCTTTTTATTTATCCAGTTATCAGTTGATAGACATTTGAGTCGCTTCCACCTTTTGGCTATTATTTGCATTTCCCTAACAAGTAATGATGTTTTTTAGCATCTTTTCATGTGACTATTGGCCATTTGTGTATCTTCTTTGGAGAAATGTCTGCTTAGATCTTTTGCCCATTTTTAAACTGGGTTCTTATTTTATAATTTTATTTAGTTGTAAGCATTCTCGATGTTATGGGTTGAATTGTGTCCTTCTCTGCAAAAGGTATGTTGGAGTTCTAACTCCTAATACCTCAGTGCGTGATTTCATTTGGAGATAGGGTCTTTACAGATGTAACCAAGTTAAAATGAGGTCTTAGAGTGGGCCCTAATCCCCTATAACTGGTGTTCTTATAAAAAAGGGAAAACTTGGGAGACAGAAAGAAATGCACACAAGTAGAACTTCACGTGAAAATAGATGAGTTAATATTTGAGCTAGACTCAGAAGCAAGGAGACAGGTGCTACTGAATCTGAATTTAGATAGAAACCAAAAACCTGGTAAGTCAGATAAAGTCAGTTATATAAGATGCCAGGAAATCATTAAGAACGTGATTTAACATGTATCAATGGGATTTCTTGGTTCTATGCAAATTCAACTAAGCCATTTGTCACTGGCAATCTACTTTCTAGCCATTTTCTCTCCCCCTTTCACTTTCCAGGGAACTTGGGCTTTCCCGGACTATCCAGTAAGGCATCTTACTGGAACTGGTCCTTTCCTCTGGACTCAATTCATGGCTAGATTTTTGGACTTCACCAAGCTAAGAAGTGGTTCCTGATTTTGAAGAGTCGGTATCTGGGAGGAGGTAGAGAATCAGGTAAACAGAAATACTCTTGACAGTGGTATATAAAGAAGGCAATAGAGTACACAAGAGCTCATCTAACTTAGAATAGAAAGGGAAGTGGGTGACCATGGAAGCTCCCCTGAGGAAATGAGTCCTAGCTCTCAGAGAATGTAGGGGAAATAGCTGAAGGCCAGGAGAAGGAAGCCAAGGTACAGAGATGATTAAGTCCACGAAGCATTCCTCCCCAGGCTCTCCCCATCCCTGTCAAGATTTGAAAAATTCCATATAAGATTTATTTTGGCAAGAAGCAAAGCCTACCTCATTCTGAAAAAGTCAGTGCTCTCTCACTGGTCCTTAGCAGCCAGACACATATATGACCTACTGTTAACCAATTGATTGTTTCAACCATGGATTTTGATCAATGAGTAAATGAAGTAAAACAAGTTCATTAGTAGCTGTGGTGGATGGGCAGGGATGTTTTAACCAGATTATTTCTACTTACAGATTACTGCTGTACGGCCGCCCACTTTATGGCTCTCTAGAGCTGCCCCAGTTTCTGTCCATTTTCAGGTTTGATCCTTAGCTCTTTCATCAATTCTGTGAGCCTCTGCCACCTTCCAATAAATTCCCTATTCAGATAGAGTTGGTTTCAGCTGCATGACAGTGACGAACTTTATCTTAGGCAAATGATTTAGGAGACTCTTCCATACAAGAGATGAAGGCCTGAATTAAGGCACTGGAAAGGACGATGAATAAACAGGTAGGGAGATGGATAAGAGATTTAGGTATCAAAGAGACCTGGCACAAGAAAGGTACTTAATATTTGAATGCATGATTGCATAACAGAAGAAAATTACTCCTAGATCTCTGGCTTTTATAAGTTGTCTATTTTGTTGCTATTAACCAGAAGAGAAAATACAAAATAAATGAGTATTTTTGGTGAATAAGATTTTGGGGTGCCAGTAGTTCCATATTAAGGACTCAGAAATTTCTAGAAGACATTTGGATATAAATACCTTGACTGCAGTTTGGATTTAGGAGTCATAAAACACAGTTATAATGAGCTATAGAGGTAGATAAAATTACACAGGATAATTATCTGCAGGGTAAGAAGCCTGATGAATGAGGAAGGTGGAGAAGAGCCCATGAAAGAGAAAAGCCTGACTGTAGCCACAATAGGAAAAAGAACAGCAAATTTATAGAGTTAGTAAGATAAGGACTTTAGATTTAGCAACAAAGGTGTAATCAGCAGTCTTGGCAAGTATGATTTCTGTAGCACAATTAAGCCAGATCTCAGTGTGTTAAGAAGTGAGGCAAAGGAGAGAGAGACTTTTAAAAATGAGTTTACCCCCACCTCTTTTCATACAACCACTTGAATATATTTAAAATAGAACAAAACAATAAAGTTTTGGTAAACAAATTTTAATACAACTGTATGGTCAAGTAATAATGGTTAAAAGACACTTTTACTAGATATAACTTTAAAAAATTCAAAACTATGCACAAAGTATATTTAAACAAGACAAGTATTAATGTGCTACAAATAAATTGAGAACAAAGAAATACAAAGCACTTTTTTTCTTCCACTGTGAAAACTCTGGAGTCTCTAACTGAAAGCAAATCACATTTGGCTGCCACCAGTCTGTACAAGTTGTAAAGCATATTATACTTTTGTTCTACTCTGTAATTGTGTGTCTTAGCTCCAGAAACTGTCTCAACAAAAATTTTAGTAAAGAAACTGTGGGAAGGGGTGATAGGACAAGGGAAGAGTTAAGAACTTTTTAAAGAAAAGAAAGATAAAATGAAAAAGTCTATATAGAAAAAAGTATAATGGAACAAAAATAAGTAATTTACTTTTTTGACATTAGATGAAAATACTGCAAATGTCATTTACAAGGGTCTAATCAGTATGGTATTTTTCTGAGTATCTTAAAGAGCACCTTGATATCAAAAAAACAAAAAACTCCAAATATAATAAAACTCTGAACATCCATTAACATTTCTTAACATTCTCAGTTCTACCAAGGAACTACATGTTTGGTGCTCATTAAAAAATTTAAGAAGGGAAATTTATTTATTCTATAGGAAATACACATGAAACTTATCTCAGGTAAGCTTTATTTAGCATGAAAAAAAAGTTAAAACAGCACTAGAGAACTTAAGGCACATAAATTCAGATGCAGTTATTTTGAAAATATTAAAACAAATTATTTTCTTTGGAACAATACATAAAATAAGTTATGACTATTGCTGCTCTTAAAAAATTACTTATGATCATCTTTAGCACTAAGTCAATTTAGTATCTAAGGCAATCACACAAATGTAAAATTAATTAAATACATTAAAAAAATGTCTGAATTATGTTGAAAATGTCTCTGGAATTACTAATTCACACTACTGGCTCAAAGGGTTTCTGGTGCCTCGCATTAGATGTGACAATAAGTATAGCTAGTTTGTCAAACCTATTGCCTTAAAGGTCAACCATATTGCCCTGTTCTGGTTACTTGGTGCAGTGAATTTACTTAACCAAAGAGAGTCATAGGGTGAGGTGATGTAAATATGGCTTTCAATATAATGCACAACAAATCTAATAAGGCCCAAATTATATGCTGAGGTTAACTTGTATTTTGAGTTTAGTAAAATAAAGGCAGTCCATAGGAAGCCTTTAAGAGACTTATCACCTGGCACCACATAAACAACTATTTCTTCTTTGAAAAAAGTCTGTTGTAGATGTCTTTTCCACACATAAATCTCAAGACACAAAGGCACACACAAACAGTTCAATCCCTCTCCTTTCATGTAAGGATTCTCATGGCTATTCTTTTTCAAAAATCTATCGCCATATACAGAAAACAGGAAAACACACACACACACACACCTGGTTTGCATATTGACAAAAGTAGTGTAATTGAACCTTTGTCTTTCCTGAGTTTTGAAAGGGTATATATATGATAGTAGAAATACATAAACAATTCATATTCAATATGAGAAAATGTCTCAGTTCACAAAGCATTTTCATCTTTCTAAATATAAAACAGTGAATGTTCAACCACTGACATGTGTGAAGCCCATTGACCAAATTAAATTTAGAATCACGAACTGAAGGTTAGTTAGGGCACTTTAATACCCCAAATAGGCAAAAATGATAAGTTAATACCCTCCCTGAGTATTTACATCATTTTTTAACACCTGGTTTAAATGGAGTAAATACCTATATTTCAGACATCTAGGAAAAATAAAAAGGTTAACTGAAGATCCAATAGTTACCATTTCATACCTGTGTAGTAAAGTCAGTGGGAAGATTAGAGAAGAAAAGGAAGGACTTCTGTTGTAAAAATTAGACCACTTTGCAGCTACACTTACATATAGCAACATGTGAAAAAGGATTAAAGCTCATGGGAGAAAGTAACAGCTGTATTTTCTGTTGATTCATAAAACATAGCCTTGAAGTTCTTTTCCTACTAAGGTATCACAACTGAGTACAGCAAACTCATCTCTACCTCTAATTTGTTTTCTGACCTTGTAAAAACCATATGTATTAAACAGATTCTGAGGGTATACACGTCCTCACACTAATACTATATTTATCATGTGCTTTCAAATGTGAAAAGTATTTTAGAAATACACAAAGAAAAAAAATCTTCTGGAATTGAATTTAATAAGGTCAACCAATTTTTATTTTATGTGCTTTTTTTCCTGATCATCACAAACTGATAAAATTCTTGGTGTTTGTATGTATGTGTGTACATGACAATACTATCTATCTACATATATACAATGTATATACAGACATACTAACCCGAAGGCTTATTTGAGCATCAACTATCAAAAGAAAATTTCAACTATGTGATAATAGTATGAATATAATCTGATACCAATTTGGCTGATAAATCCCTTTTGATATACTAATTATACCCTAAAATTTTATTTTTATCAATGCAAACACGATTATCAACAATCAGTAAAGGAACATAATTAAAAGATATTAAAATACCAGTTGGTTAATTAAAAAATTTTTTTACTTTAATTTCATAGGATTCAAGCTGAGTTCCTGGTGGCCTACTTAATTTATGTAGTTTCAAATTATGTAGAAAAAAAACATTAAACCATGTGGTATAAGGTTCATGTTTAAACAAGCTGTTTTACAGGATTTCATTTCAAATTTACCACAAAATAAACACATGGATATTAAAAATAAATGTATAACAAAATACAAGTAAATAGTTAATACTTTTTCAATCAACAAAGGTACAAGTTATCTTGAGAAAATTTTTTTGTGTGAAATTTCTGTATTTACAGATGGGTATGACCTTACACATACACATGAAAATAACAAGTATCATTTGTATAATCTTCAGCTTTTACAAAACACTTCTCATACATTATCTCATATATCACAAAGAATTCCTGAATGAAATAGGTTTTATTATCTACAAAGGTATAATGCAGAAGTGTATATTTACTCTAATATTAAAACAAGTACCCAACTTAAAATTGTCTTTCAACTAAAATGATAGAAAATTACTTTCTGAAATGTTTTGATCTGTCACAGAAAGGTACATATAATCAAATTATGATTTGAAAAATAAAAATTCCCTAATTTTTATTTAGAGTTTTTCTCAGAATTCAGATTCTAGCCAAGCATTAAAGTTAATGCTATATATATAGTTTATCTGAAACCTATGTATCATTCTAAGATTAAAAAAAAGTTTATTAGTTAGGTTTTTGATTACTACCTTGGTTTTAACAGAAATCTGGTGACACTATAATCACGTATTTGCATCATTGCTCCTATGACAAGGAATACATAATTATGATGTGAGACAATAGTGTCTGGGAAGCTGAAATGCAGCAGGCTACCTGGAACATCCCCAAGATGTTGTAAATTTTATCTGTCTACCCAGGAATAATAACAATCACTTATGCTGTAGTTCCTGCTATAGTCCCATTTGTATTAGAAAAAAATTTTACACTCCTCTCTGAGCTTTAAAAACTGGAACTGAAAATCTAGACAAAGGCAATTTGTTGTATAGGAGCTTGAGAATGTTGATCAATATTCTTCACAATGGGCAACAAATGGAAGATTTATCTTAGAAGACCACAACTACTGCTGTTAGTTTTTTCAGATAGCTAATTTTAAAAGAAAAATGGACCCACTGAGATAGGTGGTCCCTGCTTTACCCTTTGAAGGCAACCTAACAGTAAAGACTTCCAGGATTTTTAGCTGTTCACAATAAAGTAGGATAACCAGGGAAGATGTCCTCACCTAAAGCACCATACTAATGAGGTCAAACCCTACCAGGCTAGGGAGAAAATCTGTCCCTGTTTTTCACAAGATAATATTGCAAATGGATTATAACTCTTTCACCAGGTTTAAGAAAAGGTGCCTCCTTAGAGGATTTAGAGATGATACATAAATGCTTTAAGAGCCATAGTGGGTCATATTCCCTTCAATAGTTTTACACAATTTTTTCTTAGGAATTAACCTGCAATTTTAACCCCCATTTTGGGGGCACTTGCTTTTGTAAATGCTACCCAACCTCCTCCCAAAAATGTTTAATATTAGACAGCAATTCTAAGAATGAAGTCATAATAATCCAGCATTTTATAATATCAAATTGCCATTACATCTTTATCAATTATAGGAAAAAAACCTTCAAAAAATTAATCAGTTTGGATGTATTTTTAGTGACAAAGATTTTTAAAATGGATTTTCCCCCCTTAGAATGCATTCTAAGCATTCTAAGCCATATGTGATTCAACCTAAATGAAGCCTTAAGTCATACACTTTTCTATATACATACATAAGACAAAATAAGAAATATGGTTTGTAGGTAAACATACATAAATGAAGACACTACTCACAAATTCCTAAAAGGTATGCAGGCAGACAGTACTTCCTACTTTAACAGGTTACTTACAAAGGTGTACTTGCAAAGCCCAAGCGACAACCACTATTACCTTCAATAACAATGATATTTTTTTTTTCAATTACAGGAAAGGCTTTATTACAATTTGGAAGATTGATATTTTGGGGAGAAAGCCACCACAATTATTATTTTTACTTTTTTGTGCATATGACACAAAGGAGATATGTCAAGTTCCCTCTCTGGAGTTTTAAAACTCTTTCCTCTCGGATCAGTGTGGCTCGTTGGGTGAGGTATCCTGGTTTTAGAGCTTAAAGCCCTTCTCATTGTATCTATGAATAGTCACACAGCCATGATAGGACACTGGCCTGGGCATTGCAGCCACCCCTGTGATGATACTTGTTGCAGGATCGTAACAGAGAATAGTGTCTGTGGCTTCTCCATTTTCCCGTCTTCCACCCAGGATGTATATTTTACCATTACACACAGACATACCACAGTTTTCCTGTTTAACCAAATACATAAAAAAAAAAAAAAAAATTAACTGTTGAAGGTAAGGCATTTGGTAGCAAACTGTAAAGTAAAATAAGACATACTTTAACAGAGTCACAAAAAGGAGATATGAAATAAGCTTCTTTTTGCCCAATTCCTGCTGTGTGTGAGTGCTAGGTAATTTTGCGTGGGTGAGTGTGTGTTAAAATAGGTATATATGTTGGTAAATGGGGCAAAGATGTGGGAGAGGAAGTGAGGGTGGTGGAGTTAAAAAAGGGTTTTAACTTAACGGTAGTTGAACAAAAACATCCTTGAAGAGCTTGGGTTGCTTCTCCTATTACAGGAAGGTCCTTTAGTATAGAAAGTGGCAATTATATGACCAAGGAGTAGGAACATTACTCATTATATGGGATTATCCACAGGTTGAATGAATGAATGAGAGAAAGAGGTGTAACCAAATTAACAAAGCATGTTATTAGGAGCCTTGGCTAGGACATAGAAACTCCCCAAATAACATTTTACAGTTAAATTTCCATGTAATGGGATCCTTAGCTAAATTTCATTCTTCTGTCAATAATATAATTACTATTTAAAATAAATATTCTTGCAAAGATAAGAGTGATTCTTTAAAGAAATCACACTAAAATTGTCCATTATATGAATCTGGTTATGCTGTAGGTCAAATATTTTTCTACTAACTTTAGACTTAATTCATTTAACTACACTTTAATTCAGAAAATTATTACATATTGTTATCCTGTTTCCACATAACCAACGAGACAGGTTCTGCCAACAAGTACAATAAACTTTTTACTTGACCAGATTTGCTGTACATAAATTTTGCTGTTTTAGAAAAAAATTGAATCTTGGTAGACTTATATAATAGAAGATAGTATTTTTAGGTCTAGAAGAACTAGTGAATACTTAAAATATACCTAATTAGAGTTTATGTATACCAGAAATAAATTGTTGTATTATCATTAGTGAATGACAACCTTTTATCCAGAATACCACCCATGAATTGTACCAATTACGTGCCAAACTATTTTTATCTAAAGCCCAATGAGCTCTTTCTATAAATCTAAAAGTTCTGAAACAATAAAAAACAATGACCTTAGCTTTTAGGTACAAGTTAGCTTGTACTATTGGACCTTACAGTGACTTCTGATGATGATTCTTAAACCACACAATTTCAGCATTGTTATTAATATCATTTCAGATAATAATGCTCAGAATTAAATGAAGCAAGCAACCTTGAAAGTAGGTACTCATTCATGTCAGGAAATTACTTGTACCAGATACAGTAGGTTATTTCACTCCATGAATATCTCAAGAGTATTGGCAGCTAGTAGGAAAAATAATTTATTAATATGCAAAATTTTAATGTTTTTTCAAACTTGAAATAAAACATGATCCTAATAATACTAAAAAAACTCACTCTCCTTTATTATTTTTAAATACTTCAAGCCTAAATGTTAAAATACCAACAATAATCATACTTTTCATTTATTATTTTAAATTTTAATAACATTTTAAATACCTAGTCTACTGAAAGATTAAAAAAAAATCTTTATCATTGACTTAAAAAAATTCCATGGATGTTAAAAAGATGTTCTTGACAAAAGTCAAAAAGCAAAGTATGTTTAAAATTAACAAGTTGTAGCTTTTAGGAATTATGCAAAGTTAAGCAGTATGGAAATGGGGAGGGACAGACAGAGAGAAAGGCTGGGTCTGTTAGGACTGCAAACAAGGAGCTAATTTTTCAGCACTTCTTTGTCATTCAACATTCTAAGCATTAAAAAAAGTAGCCTTGGTTCTGGGTAGATCTGATTCATTGGATTAGTATGCAACTGTCTCTATAATATTTTCCATTTCTATTGTTAGATTGTAGAAAACTTTTTTCACTGTTTTCTTTTGTTACAAAAACGGGAAGTTGAAAATGGTGATAAAATGGAAATATATGTGATGTTTGCATTATTAAAACTCTTTACAGATCTAAAGTCTCAGCTATATTAAACAGTGGTTAAAACACTGAATAATGTTTAGGTCTATTTCCATCTGTGAAATAGTAATATTTATTTGTTTTGAATAGAAAATGAGAAAATGTATATAAAACCATTTTATAAACTGTAAAAGTTATACAGATATGAGCTTCTATTTGTTTAGGAGCATAGATGTAAATTACGTACAATTTGGATTATACATAAAATTATCTGTGTCCATTAAAAAAAAGTAGCTTTGGACTCAAATAACTGTCTACCATGAAATTACAGCTGATTTACCTTTTTTCATGATTATTAAATTGATAGGCAAACACAGATGGTTCAAAAACTGCCAATCAATACATAGGTAAACTTACGAGGTGCTGATTTTAAGAATGGACCAGGGAGAAGAGATAACCTAGAAATCTCAGTATCTGTTGCTTTAAGAGATGTGATATAAAATACTGGACTTGGATTATAATGATTTGTCTTTGTTAAGACAGATTTAACATATTTTTGATTTAAATGTTTTTTCCTTGACATTTCTGAAGTCAATGTTATTCACTGTTTATGTAGAGAAAATGTGCCATGTGTGTTCTTTTTTCTTTGTTTTATCTCAATCACTTAGTTAAAAACATATATTGTATGCCCTGCATTACACTAGATGTTGGCAATTACCTTCCTAAGCTGTTACTGTGTTATACAGTGTAGATAACTGTATTTTATCTACAGTTCTAAATGAACTGTACATATAAGTTCTAAATGAGCAATAATTCTTAGTGAAAATGCATTATACTCTAAAATAGTCACTGCAATAAACCAGTAAAAAATTGCTTTAAAAATTTTCGAAGTAAGTGTGAACACCTGTCAGTAGGTGAATGTGACCACAGTGTGCGTCTTCTGTGGTAGAGCACACTTTCATCTCAGCAGAGGTGGAGTTTGTCCTCTCCAGGAAAGGCCAGGGAGGTACAGAAACATGATTCATCTTGCTTAAATGTGACAGAAGATAGATAGAAGGTAATATTCCCTCTGTACCATGAGGCTGAAGATCTTATTTTGTTAGTTTCATCAGTTTAGGAAATGTTGCTTTGAATGTATTACTAATTGGAGGCTATACCTCAATGTCAACAACTTTAGAAAAACAGTGTTATACTTAAGCCCTATTCATTGGAGTCTATATCTCTTATGTATCTTGCATGTAAGATTGTCTTAAAATTAAGTGCCTCTGTTACTTCACTATCTCATTTGTTTACTTATTCAACAAATGTTTACTGAGCACCAGTAAATGTAAGACACATAAAAATGAGTTAGAAAAAATAGTATTCTCAAGAAGACAGAATCCCATTATAAAAATAAACGTCTATACCCATACGGAAATACATGACTGCCATACTAGAGGTGTTAAGTGTAGGGATAGATCAGGAAAAAAAAACCCAGTTCTGAACAAGGTAACCTCAGTTTGTTGTAATTGTAGTGGTCCTTAAAAGGGGGGCAGAATTACAAGTAGGAATGGTAGAAAAGGCACCAGAGGCTGAGAGGACAGAGGAACCAAGGCAAGAACACATTTATCTGTGCAGTGAATTTAAGTAACAGACAATGTAACTGGGGTAAAGTTGCAGAAGGGGAAGCTGAAAAGGCAAGCAGAGCTCAGACAACAGAAGGCCTAAAATGAAGTGGGAAGACTTCTGAATTTTATTCAGTACATTTCCAATCAGGAGAGAGATATAATTAGATTTGTTGGAAAAAAGGATTAAAGAAGCCACATTAGAGACAGGAACACTAATTAGTGAACAAAAGCAGGAACCACGGGAATGGAAAAGAACAGGAGAAATTCTGGGGGCACAGAACTGATAGGCTGGCTGATTTAAAGAGAAAGTGAGGAAAGCCTAAGAAATTAAGTCTAGGTGTGAAATAATAGAAAATATACATTGGTCTCTGCCCCAGTTCCTAATGTAGAGCCTCTAAACCCCCTGGAATTTCCTGGGTGATAGGAATGCTTTTTGTTCTAATGAGGCGGCTCTTGGTGGTCTCCTAGATGGGGGCTGGTCACCAGAAAGATGAAGCCACAGTGAGAAGTTTGGAATTTCACGCCCTGTTCTCTGGAGGGGGTAGAGGCTGGCAGTTAGCTACACGATAAAGCTTTCATAAAAATCCCAAAGGCACAGGATTTGGAGAGCCTCTGGGTTGGTGAACACATCCATGTGCTGGGAGAGTGGTATATCTCAGCTCCAGGAGGAAGGGAGCTCCAGTGCTAGGGACTCTTCCAGACCTCAACCTATGTGCATCTTCATCTGGCTGTTCATCTGTATCCTTCTTTATATAATAAAGCAGTAAACGTAAGTGTTTCCTTTAATTCTGCGAGCTGTTCTAGCACACTGTCAAACCCAAAGAGGGGGTTGAGGGAACCCTGATTTATAGCCAGTGGGTTAAGAAGTAATGAGGACAACCTAGGCCTTGCAACTGGCATCTGAAGCAATGGAGGTCTTGTGGGACTGAGTCTTTAACGTGTGCAATCTGATGCTAACTCCAGATAGGTAGTATAAGAATGGAACTGAACTGTAGGGATAGCCAGCTGGAGATGTTGACTTGGTTGGTGTGGGAATAAACTCATACATCTGGTGTCAGAAATGCTGTGAATGTGATTAAGGAAGAAACAGTTTTTCCATCCACTCGGTTGTTTGGAAACAGAAAAAGTAGGCTTGGGAAGAGATCTGAATGCTGATTTATATTTAAAGTCTTGGAACACCAATGAAAATCAAATATATGAATTTGGAGCACAAGAGAGAGGTTTTAATGGAGATAAAGATTTGAAGTCATTAGTAGTGAGCAGTAAATGCGATCACTCAGGAACAGATTATAAACTGAGAATAAGCTTGAGACATATTCATATTTCAGGGTTGGATAGAAAAAAAGAGAATATGACTGAGACTGAGAAGATTATTAGTAATGACCTTTGGGAGCATAACATCTCTGGAATGGTATAGGTTAGAGCCAGATTTCCAGCATCAGAACCAAGCATTTTGGTAGTGGAAGGAGGGTAGAGCCATGAAACAAAAGGCTGAAAAAGGCCTTTTTGGGGGGCGAGAGGTGGAAGTAGAGTACAGGTACTCCCATGAGGAATAGAGGATGAAGATGGATGAAGGAGACCTGAGCACAGCCATTTCCTTTGTAACAAAACCAAATTACCTAGTTTCTAACCACAGAAAGAAAGAAACCAGTTTGGGAGCATTTATTCTCTTAAAATATGCAAGAGAGGAAAATAAGGACTGGAGTAGGATTCTGAAAAAGTTGCCCCAAGTGCAACAGCTACTTCACCATGGGATGGTAAAGAGTAGGTTATTTCAATAAAAGAATTCCTTGTAAGGAGTTCAAATTAGATACAACCATATGCTTATTGTGGAATTTTTAAAGATTATGGATTAATTCAAGAATACATGAAATATTTAACAGCAAAATTACAGTCTATTCATCATGGTCGTGTACTTGGCCCCTCTTAGACTGAATTTTCTTTTGGACTGTTTTATTTTATTACCTGCCGGCTGAATGTATTCTGTACGTGCATCCAATAATCCTCAACTGGATCGTAACAGTATATTGCCTTGGTCAGTCCGCCAGCCACATATATCAGGTTGTTTAAGGACACAGCTGTTATACATCTCTTGGCAATTGGGATAGCTGCACGAAGTAGCCAAGAATTGGTTTCTGGATCGTAAGATTGAACCTAAAAAATATACAGAAATAGTTAATTAAAGTATCTGGACAAAAATGCAAACATAATAAAAAGTCTACCACATGAGACCAGTTTTATGTTTAAAGCTTTATATTAATTTATTTTATTAAATTTAAGGGTATTTCTATATAAACTGTAGAAAACCATGGCAAAGAACTATATTATGAGCAGTCATAAAATTAAAGCCCAAGGCAAAAGGAAAATTTAGTAATACTCAGTCTTTAATTAAAATGTTGATATTTTGTTCATCACAGATTTTTTAATTAATTTCAAATTAACATATTCTTTAAAGATTGCATTAAAATATGATTCCTATTGATTAGTGAGTTTTTGACATCTCCTTAAATTTGCACCTGAGGCAAGTGTCTCATTCACTTCAATTTCACAGTAGTCATAGCCTGAGATTTATAATTTTTAAAATTATTAAAGTATATTCTATATATTATATTCTATTTGTATTATTAACTATGAAAAAAGTATTACAACATTTCACAACTAATGTTTGCTTTATCTTGGCAACTAGGACAGTCTCAACCATTTTAGCCTAGAGCTCTCCAAATAATTTAGCTAATACCCTCAGTTATGTCAAGATAGGGACATTTTATGAAGTTTAATAAACAACTTTATGATCTATAAAATTCAAGATTACCACTTTAATTGAGTTCAGAATGTTTGATTGAGTTCAGAATGTTTTCTAACCTAGAATTCAGTAAGTTTTTTTTTCAGAACTGTGACTCAAAATACACTGAACTCCCTTATGAGATTACATGTTCTTACAAAAACATTTTCCATGCTCAAATGATATTTGAAAAGTTGCATACGACATATTCCCATGGAAGTTCACAATCCACATCTGTATGCCACATACTCTAAATAAACTTATGTAATGAATGCAAAAAAAAAAGAAAAAAATAGTTTACCAGTATACAGAAACTTTAAAAATTAAATCCCATTAATTCACAGAACTAAGGGTGGTTGAGCTTGAATTGTCTGAATTATGAAATTCTATAAAGAAATGCCAATGTAGTACTATGAGGCCGAATACATAACAAACAGATTGTTTCCACGGTGAATGGCTACCAGGTTTGCTTTACTTATTTCTCTTAAACTAATAGTCCAGATTTCAAAAAAATTATGTTATATAGGATAACTATGACTCAATCTGAATATAATTTTACACTTGTGGGGAGCCCTTTCTTTAAAAAACTCAAGCAAACCTCAGTTCAGTATACTGAATTATCACAAATTATCAATAAATTCTAAATACTTGACATTAAAATTTAGAAAAAGGATTGACAAAATTCAGTCAACTACTGCAAATGAATTAGGCATTAGACACTTGTTTCCAGAATAAACATGCTATTTCTGAGCTGTCAGGATGGCACATGTTCTTTTGTCCCAGTTCAATAAATTGCCCCAACTGTAAACCGTCCACTATTTACATTAGAGATTTTCCTGTCCTCTTCTTTGTTCAGAAAAATACTTTAAAAATATGCAGAAAATGACCCAGTTGGAAGCAGTGAAATTACTGTGTCTCACCTTTTGCTAATTCTCTTCCCAATTTTTTTGATTCTATAGACTACAACAGTAAAAGGTTTGAAACAATTTATCTAGTGTTAAGATCTCAACATCGAGATGAGTCTCATTTCAAAAAGACTGGAACATGTGTTTTACAGAAAATTGTTAGATATATTAGGATCTCACTTCAGTAACTTGAAACTCAATGTCTTCTCCCAAAAGTTAGAGTATTAGATGATTTTTAAAAGACCCTGCATATTAAGGGACCTAGTTACCTACTGATGAGCCTTCTCTATTTCTGTTCTTACATATATCACTGGTAACTTCTTTTAGAATACATGGCTTACCTTATCAGAACAAGTGTTATCATCAGGTCCTCCGCCAATCACAAACAATTTGCCTACACAGCTCGTCACAGCAGGTGAACTCACTGCTTCCTTAAGGGGAGCCACTTCAGTCCATCGATTTGAAAAGGAATCATAACATTCTACACTGCTAAGTCTGTTTTGCCCATCATAGCCTCCAACAACATATACCTATACATAAAATAGAAGGAAAAATCTTAATTATCAAAAGCTTAAATTTTTAACTACTTGGCTAAGGTATAAAAGATCTCTCCTCTCTAAAAGCTCTTGATTAACTATAATTGCAACATATTTAGCTTTGTTTCTAAAACTTCTTTATTATCTCCTTCTCACCTCCACCAAGGAGCCTCTTTGGACATTTTCATAATGGCTCCTTCCAATGAAATTTTATTACCACAGATACACTGTATATCCATTTATGTACTGTATGTTTATCGGTGCTATATACATGAGACAGTATGGTTTTTTTCATCCCCCCAAGACTTAGCTTCACCTCCTTGGGGGCCATATTGCTCATGAGCAGAATTACATGATTAAGCGTACATGGTCATACTCACGATGATGAAAATATTAATTATAAAGTAGTGAAGCTATGAAATGAAAATATTGGATAAGGACTACTCAACTGTGAGCTCTATGAAGGCAGGGACTATCTTGTTCTTCATTTTAGTCCCTAAGGGTTTAGAAAAGTACCTAACACATAATTGACTCTAATATGATATCTTTCAAAGAGGTGTCATGTACATTTTCTTTGCACAAATATAAGGAAAATAGGGCAAATTAATATCTTTATATGATGGGTAACTAATCAATAAGCCATTTATAAATGACTTTATATGCAGAATAATCCATTAAGCATTATGAGATACGAGAAACTTCTAACCTAAGAAGCTCTCCGGTTTTACATCCACAGTTCTTTCAATAAACAGTCATCAACTCTTCCCTCCACATCTAATTAGTCAGTAAGTCCTACTGAGTCTTCTTTCACAGCGTTTTCCCATCTGTCCCTTCCTTGTTTCCCATTGCCACTGTCCTACTGCATGGTCTTATCCTTTGATACCTCTCAAGTAATCTCCTGATCTCCACTCTTGTGCTCTGTAAACCACAGATTAATATTCCTAAAATACCTCACTGACTCCTTTTAATAGGTCAACAATGAATGTCTAAAGGTCAAGGGCAAACTTTATATATTGTCATTCAAGTCCGTCCACAATTTATCATTCTGTGCTCCTCCAAATTACATAGCAGCCAATGCTATCTCAATCTTGTATTTCTCACAGTAGGTTAAAATGACCTGTTGGTGGGTTTACTCTCCCAACACCAAGCAGCTCAGAGAAGTTAAGTAATTTACTCAAGGTTTTGCAGCTAAAAGGGTATAGAAACTTCAGCATAATGTAGCAATTAAAGGCATAGGCTTTGAAGTCAGAAGAATCAGGGTTCATAGCTAGCTCTGCCATGCAATGTAGATCTTGGATAGTTACCTATCTTCTGTGAGACTCAGTCTTAACTTCCTTAATTAAAAAATGTAGACCATAATAGCACTTAACATGTAATATAATTTTGAGGAATAAACTTTGATATCATCCCCCTATATGCATTAATTAAAAATATGTGCTGTGAGTCAAGATAAAAGGCCTCTAGATTGAGAAAAATCTGAGCCTTTGTCCCTATTTAATCACTTCCTATGTAACCTTGGGCAAGTGTCTTAAAAGTGCATCCAGTTTTTTATAAATTAAATGTTACATTAAGTGTTCTCTAAGATTCTTCCTGCTGTAAAATTCTATATCCCAAACCATCCTAGGTTTCCTTAACAGGGAACATTTCTAAATTTAAGTAACTTCACAGGTTTGAATTCAGCCTATATTGTAGTTTTTAGGATAAGTTTCCATGAATTGAGAACTTGCTGAGTAAGGTAGGAATGATTCCTTGGATTTCTTGATTTAGTGCTCTCAAGTTTTGGGTATCTTCAAATCAAGTATATACATTTGTCAAATAAATGTGTTCTCCAGTCCAGAGATGACATTTGAGACATCAATCATTTCCTTTTGCCTTTGTATATCCAGACTAAATGATATAATTTTAAATCAGATCTCATTTCCTTCTAGCCCCTTGATTTTAGCTGATCCTTTCTAGTAGTATTTGTAATGCTTGAGGTATAGCTACAAAACTATATACGATAACAGTAGACACTGACAAATCAGTGGTTTTGGAAAATGTTATATATATGTATATTTTAAATTGAATACTTGATATACATTATGTTGGTTTCAAGTATGTAACACAATTTATACATATTATTAAATCCTCACCCCAACTAGTAGTTACTATCTGTCAACAAAGAAAGATTATTAATATTTCATTTCTACTGTATCTATCTCAAGGTCCTCATTATTTCTTTCATTGGCCTTGTGACAGCCAGCATACTAGATCAATACCCATAGGAATTAAGAGAGGCTTTCAAATCGTGCTTTGAGAAGCTCTAGTATTTTACCATACAGAGATTTCAAGAAGCCTCTGTGGGGACATAGAGGGTGGGGATGAGGACTGATGGGAGGTTGGGGGCTGGGGTTCCCACACCATATGTTTTAACTAGAGCAGTTTTCCTTTTCCATTCTCTAAAAGGTCTCCACAGGAAGGCTTAAGAAGCAGCAATCTCTTTAGAAGGGTTACTACGAAACCAGTAAAAAAATGTATGTGCAAGCGCAAATGCTGCTTTCACTTAAGATTGTTCACTAATTTGAGGTGGCTTTGGAGGAGCGATAGAGACGGTAGCAGGGAAAGGCTGACAGGCCCAAGTCAGCCCTTAGTATACTGCTGTATTTTTCATCTGCTTTATGTAATGGCTTTTTGTATTAGATTTAACTTTAAAAACGAGAGTGTAGTTGTACTAAAAAGTTTAGAAACCACCAGTCCACAATTGATTTTCAAGTTCCTAAAGGACAATGACTAGTTCAGAACCAAATTATGTATTTTTATATCTGTAAGCTATAGTCAGTAAATTTTCTTTAAAATATGCTGGTGAGTTTATTTTTAACACTTATTTTAAATTTGTTTTATCCCTACTTGTATAAATAAAAAAGATAAATCAACATCAGTCTAGATAAATATATCTCTGCCTGACTGCCAGAGTCAGTAAAAGGAAAAAGATGCTTGGATTAGACTTTGGACTGTTTTCATACTTGATATAACTCCTTTACTGTTCATGCTTTTTAGGCATTTAAAATCCAATGGTGCTTGAGAAAGAAATGTGCTGTACTTCCACAAATTCCAAATTGGGAAAACAAAATATCCATTCAAAAGTACAGTGTTGAATTGTTCGTATCTTCAGTTTATCTACTGAAGTTAGAAATGGAAGGAAATACACTTTGAATCCAAAATACCCAAAGAGTGAGTAAAGCATAGGATTCAGATGTGATATTTATTTTGGAAAGGTATCAGCAACAGTAATAAAAAGTAGTTTCTCTTACTTTACCAAGGAGGACAGCCATTTTGTGACGCCACCTGCCTTTATTTAGAGAAGCAACTCTGATCCAAATATTTAACTGTGAGTTATAAATCCAGACATCACGGCCATTGATTCTTCCACCTTGAAATGCAAAACAGCGCACATACAATGACATATATATCACCAAGGGATCTATGCCCAAGGCCTAGATAATGGAAACATCATATTTAGTCACCAGGTCCGAGAATTTGAGTATTCAGTTTAATAAATGAAACAAGGGCTCTCTTAAAGCATAATGTAAATGGTTCTACAGAGCAGATTTAAATTTTGCCAATGCTACCTTGAGAAATAATATTTATATAGCCTAAATAATAAAATGCATAATATTAATTTTACAAATGTGTAAGACTGTTAATTTAAAAGCCAGGCATCAGAGGCATTCAAACAACAGAAGGACCCTAAAAAGATTTTTAAGAATCACCCATTTTTAAAAAAGCATACCATTGTATAAATCAAGTATGTGTTGTTATATTGGTAAATGTGTAGTAATCTGCAAAGCTGGTAGAATTATTTAGCTAATTAACAGATTTCAGCCCACAGATACTTCAGTTGTGCTTTGTGTAAGTCTCTTGTTTTATTACGTATTATAAAAGAAGTTTAAGTTAAGAATTTTAAGGAAAATTCTATTTCATAAAACTTTGGGGAGAATTTCAGAAAACCTAGGTAGATTAGAGATGCTAATTCACGAGTACTTTTCATTTCTGCATACTTTACTGTGTTCCCAAAAACAAAGCAAACAGTTAAAGTTTAAAAAATTATGCTATATTCTGTATGCATTTGAGAGCACTTAAAAGATGAGTAAAGGCATTTTCTGGTGGATCTTTTGTAAATCTGCATCATTTTTTGTCTGTTTTTAAGAGCAAGAAGTCATTCTTAGTTTTATTTGTTGTATAAATTGATCCATCTGAAGTGGGCATATCTGCTTTGTTTTATTTTGAGACATTGTTATCGTTTAAAATAGCCAAGCTGTGTTCAAATTACAAGTAGCTACTGTGATAATTCTTTATTACCTGAAACAAGAATGTCATTCCTTAGAGCACAGACTGCATACTCTGACTTGGTAAATTCTGGAAGTTTAGCCAAAGATTTCCACTCTCCTGTCACAGGATCATAGCACTCAGTGTATGGAAGATTAAATCCTCCAACTCGTTCACATCCTCCAACGACAACTATCACCTCAGAATAGCCAGTTGACCTAAAATAATTATAAGAATGCAGAACTAATAAATTAAAATATGCTCGAGACTATTTAAAAACCCTAAAAACATACCATTGTCATAAAGAAAGTAGAATACTATTATAAAGTAAGCAGTTAAGCTTATTCTCTGGGCATGTGCTAAATAACACAAGTTAACAACTAGTTTGAGAGCATTTACATGGAATTTAGTGACATCACTTTTCCACAGAAAATTTCTATGGCTATTTTTTTTCTGTGAGTTCTGCCTTAAAAATTGTAAAGTAGTCCAAAGATCTTACCCAATTCAATTGGAACCTTGGTAATATTAGCAATGACTTCCAAACATAGTTTTGCAGCCATTCAGGTATGCATAATCACAAAAGATAAGGCACAATGCCTTTTTTCTAAGTGTAGGAAATTAGTGCATTTTCATCAGACTGCTAGTTCTGAAAAGCTTAATTTAGAGTATAATCTAAGTATGATTAGTATAACCATAGTAGAACTAAACTATATTCCTTTAAAGGAGTGTATGTATTTGCTCAGACTTAAAAAAAAAATTTTGGTAAAAGTCTTAAGGTAATTCAACTCAAATATTGGGCAGTCACTGAAAATGTTGACAAACAAGTTTTACAACAAAGAATGCTAAAGGAAAAAAGATGAGAAATTGTATAGACGTTCTAAACAATATTATGCAAAAAGTGTCTAGGAAGATTATACCAAAGTGCTAATGATTATCTCCACATTCGGTGGCTTCCTCCTTTCTATCAACGCAAATTTTCAAAATGGTAATGAGTATGGCCTATTTTTAGAGTGAAAAAACAACTTTTAAGAGTACCAAGAATTCCTAAGGTTTACATTAATCACTACTTGTATTTTGTAGTTTAAATTTAAGAGACAGACAACAAAAACTAAAAGCTTATCCAAACATTTATGCTGTTGTTGCTAAGGCTTAATAGATAGTTTGGAATTTGAAAGTTATTTCGTTTTTATATTTTTTCACAAAGTATAACTGGAATGAAAAAGTCTTGTGACTGCATTTTATGGTTACAATTTTAAGTCTCACAAAGAAAAATGGTAACAATCTTTCTTCTCTTACTTAAATGTGGAAGGAAAGAGACCAGAAAAGAACACTGATTTGTAATTTGTGTGCTGTTTCACAATCACACTAGAAAAAAATATAATTAAGCAATACTGGTATGTTCCTTTAGTAGAACTGCTATATTCTAGTTACATTTACCCATAGCTATTTCAACTAACAATCACTCACCTATCCCATGCCAGGTATACTTTTTCCATTATAAAATCAGAAATACATATTATAGGAAAGAATTTTATATATAGATGCACTAAAAATTACTTTTAGTGCAAATTATATAACCCTAAGAGAGTATATAGTAAAACATTATCAGGAAGATTCAATTATCAGTAATATTCATTGTTTTCCAAGTAATTCCAAAATCAAAATAATAAAAATAGAGAACAGTACCAGACACTTAGTAGGATAACTACTAACATCCTTCTTTCCATAGAAATTTCCTAAAATCACACTTCAAAATAACTCTAAGATAAATCCATGTGATATTCTTCAAAGCCTTCGTTATTGATTGATCAAAACTAAAACTGCTAAATACTGTTGCTGGGGTTTGTTTTAATGTAAAAATCAAGGTAATTAAATATTATAGAATGTTGTTTTATATTTTGTTTATAGCATTCCATTTGGCTTATACTTTTATTTTTGCTTGAACTTGTTTGCCTTAAGACTTCTTAGCCCAATAAACATATACTTTGTTTTTGTACCCTGGAACAAGAGAAAACAGCCTGAAAAGCTATTGGCTAAAGCAGGATCCCACTAAATAAAGGACCATTTCAGTGTTTACTGGAACATGTATTTACCTGATAGGATCAGCAAACAAGTAGTTTTGCCTGTACTGAAGGTCTTATTTACAACCAAATGGTTTTAAACTTAGAGATACGTCTTCTGTTCTCATTAGAGAATGTTAACCCAATAAAACAGTTATTTTTATTTATTGGGCTGGGAAAAATATTTATCCAGGCAGGGAGCTGATCACCTTAAAGGAAGTAAATTATTCTAGCTGCTAATGGCAACTAGAACAGAAAAGCAGTCAAGATGATAGCATAGGATGAATAAAATTCTAAATACCCATGCAATCTAGTTTTTAGAGTGAAAAGTGACTTTATTTTATTAATGCTTTAAAATGAAAATTATTTTCTGTTGTGACAAAATCAAATATTTGCTGCTTTACTATTAAGTCTTACTATTTGTTTCTGAGAAAGTATGACAATGAACTTACCATTTTTTTTACAATGGTAAATATATATTTTTTAAATTGCCATCTTCCTTTATTATAACTTTGAAAAAAGATCAAATTAAAAAATGATATTAATTATGTGAAAGATAAAATAATTATAAATCCACAGACTATTCTAAACCAAATCAACAAAATATGTAATAATTGCAAGCTCAGTTAAAAATCTCAAAAGGTGAAATACAGGATTTGCTAGCTGAAACAACAGAAATAATTATTAATGCCAAATATACCAGAGACAGGTGAATCATCAAACTAGCTGTCATCAAGAAAAAGGGGCCAAAAGGTGATCCTGGCTAATGGGAAGAATAACTTAATCTATTAAAAAAAACCAAGTAGGAAAGACACTGTGTTTCATTAAGTTCGAAAGGAGAGATGTTAGTGATATACTCTATTCACTATTCTAAGACTCAGAAGTATCTGAAAATTAGGCCATAAAATCAAAATAATGGATTAAAACAGAGATGAGACTTTAAGCCGTAAAGAGACTGAATGCTCACTAGTCTCTAAGATATGAGTTACCAGTAAACCGAATACATTAATTTATCTAAAGAAACAATATATGGTTGGCCCTCAAACAATGTGGGGGTTAGGGGTGTCAATCCCTGTGAGTTGAAAATCCACCTATTACTTTTTGATTCTCCCAAAACTTAACTACTAATAGCCTACTATTGACTGGTAGCCTTACTGATAACACAAACAGTTGATTAATACATAATTTTGTATATGTATTATATACTGTACTCGTACAATAAATTAAGCTAGAGAAAATATTTTTTTTCAAATTGTTGTAGATCTCCAAAAAAATTTTCCAATATATTTATTGAAAAACACAAATGCACACATCTAAGTGGACCTGTGCAATTCAAGGGTCAACTGTATATTAGAAGAAAGGATTGGTCAGTCCTAAAGGCAGTAAATAAGTGAATGAGTTAATAATCAGAGGCAAATGTATCCTGTATCAAGTTATTGACAAGTTAAACAAGTTACTGTCTAAAGGAAGGAGAAACTTAACTAAGCTAACTTGAACACTATAGGTTCTTTGTTAAGAATATATGGTGAGTGAGATTTCCTCAAGCTGTACTAGCTCAGAGGACTCTTGATTCTTGAGATCTACTAGCTCCCTTTGTTTGGATTCCATGCTTGTCAAACAACCTTCGAAAACTATGGCTTCCCATCTAAGTGACTTAACCATAAGAGAATATGCTGACAGGTCTATTTAAAATATCTTGTCTGTCTGACAGTTGCATTTCTTAGTGCAAGTTAATATATATGTATATAAATTCCTGAACTTAAGGGAATTGCTAGATCATGGTGAAATCATCAACATAAATGACGCTTTAAGACAGTATGACAGCCACAAACCCTGTAACTTTCTAAACTTGGTGAGGACACAGTATCAACTTGTGTGGTCAAGCTTTCCATATGAAACTGGAATAGGCAGAATGGGTTCTATAAATAAACGGATGTAGTGGTCAAAAGACCCAAAATGTTAACTCTTAAAAATCAGCAATTACCTAAGAATTTATCATCAGGAACTAATTACAGATGTGCTTAAATAGCCACAAAGATGTTCATCTCACTTAATGGTAAAAAAATCAGGAAGAGTTGATATGTGTGTGGGATGGTTATGGTATATTGTACTTGATTTCAAGTCATGGAAATGTTTACCATATATAAAATGATAAAAGCTAACTATGAAGTAGATTACGATTCTGTAAAAGTAATAAATTCATAGAGAATAAACGAGATGAATAAGGCCAAATGTTACAGTGTTACCCTTTTGAAGAATATGGGTGACTTCTGCTGCTTAAGTCATTCTCTAAATTTTCTCCAATAAACATAAATGTCCCTATGTCCTCCTCTTTGACCCAAGTTAAGAAAGATCACACCTTACCATTAATAGCCACTTCTGGGTCATCTGCTCATATGTATGGAGGCATCACATATTTGTTACATGAAACAGCTCCTATGACCACAGGTAACTGTCCAGGGAAGATCGTCTGGCTGAATCAGAGATTCTCTCTCCACAAAAGGAGAGCTTCAGTCTCTCTGAATGACTGAATTTGTAATACAGAAACCCAAAACCCATGAGTGGCTATAGCCAGCCAAACTTCTGCAAGAGAATGATACAGACATACAGAGAAAAGCAGAGGCAAGAGGTAGAGAAGGCACAGCTTGGTTTCAGTGGCCTGTTCCAGGCTTCCTGAGGTCCTGCTGAATTTTTGCCCTTAGGCTCTGCAGGACAGTGACCCCTGTACACTTTTAATGTATCCTCCATTTATGCTTAAGCTGGTAAACTCAATGCAATTACTTGCTACTAGAATTCTAGAGTTCATTAGAATGGACTGCAGAATAAAACAACCTATAAATGGTTTTCAAACTCAGGAAAAGATGCTCAATCTTCCATACTTTTTAAAAAGAAAATGCAAATTAAAATTATGAGATGTCATTTTTACTTTCCAGAGCAGCAGAGATTTACAAAATCCAATAATACATGGTAGGTTGGCAAAGGAGTGGAGAAATAGGCACTTCACATTTTGGGCTACAGTATCAATTGGTAGGAAATTTTTACAATACCTTCTCAAATGTAAAATACACATATCCTATGACTAATTCCACTTAGAGAATTCATGCTATAAATTATCAGTGTATGTATACAAACATGTACAAGAATATTCACTGAGCATTATTTGTGGTGGAAAAAAATCTAGAAATGACCCAAATGTCCATCATTAAAAGAGGAATTAAAAAAATTATGGTATTTATAAATGGGGTACTATACAGCTCTTACAGAAATAATTTGGAATTTTCCATAATAAAGAGTAAAAGAAAAAATTAATGAAGGCCTGTAGTTGATACAGATCACCAAGACACTTTTAAGTGATAAAAACAAGGTGCAGAGCTGTGAATGTAGTATCCTATCACCTGTATTACAAAGAATATGAAGTTTTTTTGTATGTGTGTTTTGTACATACAACACATCCACTTCCATATGCAAAGACAATTTCTAAAAAATATTTCAAAACTGATAACAGAGGTGTCTTTGGGGAGGGAAACTGATATTTCAAGGGTCAGGTAGAAGGAGACTTATATGTATACTTTTATGTAAAAAATGTGTGGCTTCAAAATAACAATGAACTAATAACATGCATAAAAATGGTAAACCACGCATCCTTTAATATAGTAAATTATCATTCTTAAGAGGGATTGGAATAAAAATTCAGAATAGTGCATTTAAAATACTATTTCTTAAAAAATAAAATCTTAAGTCTTTTCACTGGTTTCCAATTAGGAACTTGAACCTTGTCCTCATTATGGAAATTAGTTTTCTCTTTTCATTGTATAGTAACTGATTATTAAGAGGAAGTAGAAAGTACTAGAGACAAGTAATTAACTGACTCCAATCTCAAAATGATGATCTAATTAAATCTTAGCTATCTCTTATTGTTCAATGGAGTGGCAAACAGCATAAATTTTTTCCCACAGATATGAACAACTTATGCTTAAAATAAATGATTTGATAGCAAGCATTTCTCTCTCAAGCCACAAATTCCTACTCTGTAAAAGCATAGCACAAATTTATAATGTGTTTTATTTTGTTTATGAAACCAGTGATAATTTTATTAAGCATTTTTGGGTGAAATACTAGGTTATGCATTTTTCATATGGTATTTCCCCTACTCAAAACAATCTTACAAGGGTGATATTATGCTTTATAGACGAGGAAATTGATACATGGCAAAATTAAAATGCCCTGCCCAATGTCATGGAATTAACTAGTTGTGTAGAGCCAGATTCTAGTCTAGGCCTGACTCTGAAGCAAATTCTCTGAACACATTGTTAAGCTTGCACTTGGTGTTTATTAAAAATAGTAATATAAATTGGTAGAGATTTAAAATTGCATAATGCATATTAATAAAAAGACAACTATTCCTAAGCTTTACTCCTTCTGTGACAGGCTTTCAGTGTTGTTTCTCCATGCACCAGAGGGTTTGCAACTGGCAGTGCAATTACCAAAGATAATTTCATGCTCTTAAGATTGGCCTATATCCTCTTTCTAGGAAACCAACACACTCAGTTTCTAATAATGTACCTTGGGTTTTCTCTGCCCTTTAAAAGACATCTGGGTATATACAGGTAGACTATCTAGTATGGATTGAGCTACGGAGAATATATGACATAGGATAAACACTGAAGAAACATTGGCTGATGTGAGGAATATAACCTAACCGTACAGTGTTGGGGTCAGATTGTCATCATTCTAATCCAGAGTTAATCTTTGCATCATTAATGGTGGGACAACCAGACATGCTGTGTCTCCTGATGTGATGTAATATGATATACATCACCTAGGATGAATTCTAGCCTAAAATATTCAACTTGTCTCTATCAAGCTGAAGCTTAGATTGCTAACTTCTAATGTCCAGGAAACACAGCCAAATGCAGCTAGGTTACACCGTAAGGAACCAACCTAATACAGAAGGTGAAATGTTTTTCTGGACAACCTACCCATCAACAAGTCAGAATTATGAAAAAGAAACTGTTCTGAAATAAAAGGGACTTTATGGAAATAAGGAGATGCAATGAGTGTGCCTGAATTGGATCCACATTCATTAAGAATAGTTTGGAAAAGACTGGGGAAATATGAATATGAATTAGATAATATGGAAAAATTATAATTAACTTTAAGTATGATGTTATTTTACCTATGTTATTGTTTTAAGATGTATCCTCAAGTAAAAAACTATATATGTATATAAAATTTAAAAAAAAGAACATTGGCTGAATGAATGAATGAAAGAGAAAAGTCTGGGCTGGAGATAGAGGTTTGATAGTCCTAACATACATGGTAATTAAAACATCATGAGAATAGATGAGATCACCTAGGAAAGTATATAGGGCAAGACAAAGAGATGTGAACTAAGGGGATTATCGACATTTTAGAGATTAGATATAGAATGATCAAGTTGAGAAAGAGCAGCTGGAAAAGAGGACCACAAGGAAAATGCTACTCCAGAAGCTAATGAAGGAGAGTTTCCAAAGCAATTAATGACAAATCCTTAAGAGAGATTAAGGTGAATAAAGACTGAAAAGAGGCTGACAAATAGCAAATAGAAGGTCAGTGGTGACCTGCTTGAGAGGAGTTTCAGTAGAGTGACTGGAGCAGAAGTCAGAGGGGTGAAAGACATCACTCCTCTTTCAAAGAAGTTTGGAGTTTTACAGAAAGATGAGAACTTGTACAAATAATACATGTTATTCAGATAATGAAATTCCTAGTGATTAGTACTAAAATGCAGTAATAGATTAAGTGAAAGACAAAATATAAGAAACAGGTGATGAAAGAGTTGTAAAAGAAAGGTTTCCTTTTTACATTTCTTACATAATGCCTACAAACTATCTGCTATTATATTTACAATAGACTGCAAAACTGATGTAACTATATATATATTTTTTTGTTAAGGTATTATTGATACACACTCTTATGAAGGATTATATGAAAAAACAATGTGGTTACTACATTCACCCACATTGTAGTTTGTTTTTTTCTACCTGCCTCCTAAAGAGAGGCAACATTGTAATCATACATATGGATGTGTTTTACTGTATGAAATGGATTCTCTTAAAATCTCGATGTAATACGTTTTTGTAATCAAATAATTAAGTGAATCAAAAAGTTATTTATTATCTTAGCCCAATTACCTTAGGCTGCAATTTGATTTCATTTCGGTCATAACTTTATAAGTAATGTTAATGATAAATGACTTACTTTGATTTTACAACATATATGTCTTGGTCCCTATTCTAATCCTATGTGGATAGGAGATATGTGGGATAGGTATTATCAGCTCTATTTGACTCCAAACCATTCGGTTTGCTGCAAAGGGAGTCTGGAAAAAAAATACATGATTTTCCCCTTGCGGGGATACTGTGTGTTCAGTAAAGTTCTGGACCAGGCCCAAAGGTGTTCATCTTTTTTAATTAATACATTTAAGAACCTTGGTCTTTCAAATTCTTAAGTTCAATCTAAGTCTCCTAGTAGTCCTTAAAAAAAAAAAAAAAAAGGAACTTTAAAAAGAAATCATCAGTATGTTTACAGAATAAAGTTTTTTTGTCCTTTGTTCAACAGGAATAAAATTTTTCTTATAAAACAATTACTTTTAAGTAAAGTCAGCCAGCTTTAAAAGAAAAAGTACACTCTAACCCTAATACAAAGAACTGTTACGTTATTTTTTGTGATAATAGTTACCCTACGTTGTATCTAATTTATAGAGTTCACACTGTCAAGTACTGGGAATTTTTTTTAAAAAAGGTTCAGACCTACACTATACTATATAAACATTAATAGCTAATTATGTTTAGTCACTTTCTATACACCACTTTCTATGCTGAGTACCTTCAGGATTATTGCATTTAATAGTTTCAATGGTAAAACCTGAGAAGCACTGTTTATCATCATTCTCATTCTATATATGAGAAACATTGTATCTTGCTATATCTGAACTAGTGTAGATTTTAAAGACATGCTATCTCACAATACGCTGAATTTAAATCACATTCCAAAACAATGATAATCAAAAATCAAATCTAAAATGTGAGTTGAGTGCTATGTTATAGTAAATTTATAGGAAAAGTGGAGATGGTATGGGAAAATAAACATTAGCTTCCCAACAAAGTGAATATTTAACACTACTGAATGGGAGACTTAAAAATGGTTAATATGATAAATTTTATGTTGTGTTTTTTATGACAAAATGTTGGCTTTGCTTGAGAAATATTAAAAAGATTCTGTTCTGCCATCAAAAATAATTTTATTTTTCTGTAATAAAAAATAATAAAATCTATACATGTTTTTCAGAAATAACCCACTGTAGGAAGATATATATGATAGCACTTAATTGCACTCCTACCTCTAAACACAAATTTTTGAAACTCTCTATGATGATGCCATATTTATTATCAGAAAAAAATTTAAAAATTAAGATTGACATTAAATGTAGTTAACTGTGGCAATGAGAAAAGATCTAAAACCTAGGTTTTACACCTGAGAATCCACTCAACATATACCAGCTTACTTATGTCACACCTATATTTCATGTGGTCCATAAGGAAAAAGACTATCTGTGAATATGCAAATTGTTTTTTTATAAGTAGAAGTAGTCAAGGAAGGGCCACCGAAGTTTTTAGTTACTTTATATCCAAACATCCGTAGGAAAGAAAAGTGGATTGATCTGGGACCCTAAAAGGTTAAGAAAAATTAGCAGAAATATATTAAGACATGCACAGTTATAAAGACCCTTTGCAATATCCTTGCATAGTTCAGAATAACAAAAAACGCTAGTGTTGAGTCTAGTCTTTACTGGGAGAGATATTCTAATGATTTACATAATCCAAAACTAATCTTAAATTTTATAAAGCCACATTTAGACAATACATATAAATGACTATACTGGAGATTTATACCCAGGAGGTTTAAAAATATTTTAAAAACAAAAACTTTTGTTAATCATGCTGCACTTAATTTGTAAAGTCTTCTTACCTGCGTGGCCTAGTCCTTGGAGACATCATTTCATTCCCAAGTATGTGGTACCGTCTGGCTTCATGCAACAACTGGTAACACTCAGGAGAATTCTGGATCAACTGGTCTACCTCAACTGTTTGAACAAAGTAGTTGGGATGTAACAGAGGGAGTCTCACATGAGTTAGGAGCTCATGTAACAGTGGTCTTCTCAGATCAACAGCACGATAGACCCAACGCATGACGGCTTCAAAAACCATCTCTTCTTTACCAATAACAAGTTCATCACTACAAATATAATCAATAAGTTCATCTTTGTCAAGCTCAAGAAATTCTTCATGCTGGGACACATCCTCAAAAGTCTGTAAGGCAAAAGTCTTGCACTTTGTGAAGAGGGTTTTCAGGGAATGGGTATCAGCAAAGCGCTGGATTCCTAAGCAATTACAGGGATCAAGTTGCTCCTCCAAGAACTTGGCACATGCATCCCGGAGAACACTAATCTGAAAGAGGCTTGATGTTTCAAAGAGATACTGTACATTCTCTGTGGTGATCTTCACCTTTCCAGTATAAACATACTGCAAAAAACATTCCATAGCTTCAGCTAAAATACCATTGATTTCAACTAACATCTCTCGGCTTTCCCTGTGGTCATTGCAAAACATAGCTCTGAAGTAGCTACTACAGGCTGAGAGAACAGCCCTATGGCAAGGAAATTCTTTTCCTTCCACACAAATGATAACATCTGTGAATAAGCGGCTATCTCGGAATTCATTAAATATCTGGAGTATGTTTTCAGCATGGGATGATCCTGAAGAGAAGTCAAAAAACTCACGGCCTGTCAGAGATTTGGGGTCCATTTCAAAAACTTTACGCTTAGTTGCTGGGGAATCACGCACCCCAAGATCCTCTCTGTTTAGTCTTCGTCCCAATATTAGTACCATTGTTACATCAGTTGACTAGGTAATTGTTGAGAAATGACTGTTAGAGATCCTCTCTAGGTGGCTAAAAATTAAAAAAAAAAAATTCAATTTTCAGTATTCAAACAACTTCATTTTGATGTAAACACTGCAACAAAAATCACACAATTTCATATTGGGTATAGAACACTATTTCGTTTTAATAAAAACTAAAATATAAAAATTTGTTCTGGGTAATTTACAATAGTATTCTTTAAGCTCTCAAGCTGAAAAGATACTATGTATTTTGTCAATTACTAATGAACTTCTATCTCCCTTTTTACATAGCTAGGTTTTACCTAATAACTTTAGAGTTAAGTCTGAATGCTGTAAGCTACAGAATTCGACTACATTCACAGTCTTAAGACAAATGTTTATTATCTTAATATAGTGTTGCTAGGGAGTGATTCAGCTGTATCTATCAACAGCTTTTAAAAATATGTATATTGTTTGACCAGCAAGTCCCTTTCTAGCAATCCCAATTAAGGAAATAATCAGGAATATTTGTAAAGATTTATCTACAGATATGTTTAATGCTGTATTAATAGAAAGTACTTAAAACAATCTGAATGCCCTACAAGAGGGGATTAGTTAAAACAACAGTACATCTTAAGGATGAAACACAGTCTATGCAAGTCATTAAAAGTTATGACTTTAATTAAAGACTATTTAATTATAAGGGAAGCATTAACCAGAGAGTAAGTGAAAAGTGGACCACAAAACATGCTAATTGAAAAATTCATGTATCAGTGTGTCTGTGGATAGAAAAGGAGGCATATATGCCAAAATGTTAGAAATTTATCTTCTGTTTTTCTCTATTTCCCCCCAAAATTCCATGGTAAATATGTAGCACTTTGTTTTTAGTTTTTAAAATACATATTATCTATACTCTGCTCCCACTTCTAGTAAGAAACATCCCAAATCTCCCTCAGGATTGACTATGAATAGGTAAACTAAAGGGTTGAGGCACTGGGCTGGAACTGTCAATTCTCTTAAATTTTGATTTTTAATGTGGTTCTTTTACTCTCTTTTCACATTTCTGTAAGTTGGTATGTGATCCAAAATTTATTTCTAATTGTCTTAAGAGCACTCAGAGTAACTGTTAACTATTCCCATGACCTTACAATCCCACACACAATCCTTTCTACAGGTCCCAGATTCTTCCTGAAATATTTCAACAATCAGACATCCAGGTCTAACTATATAGCAGCATAAAGGTTAAGAGTTATCAGAGAAAACCCAATAAATGGGATGCAATCCTACATTCATAAGTCACAAATAAAACTAAGACTTGAGAGCTAACCATCTTATTTAAGACTGTACTTTGTATATCCTATATTAAATTGTATCCCTTTCTTTTTTCACAATTTTTAAAATTAAGGTATTGGTATTAATGATATATACTATTATGAAGGTTTCATTTGAAAAACAAAGTGGTTACTACATTCACCCACCAATATTATCAAGTCCCCCCTCAAACCCCATTGCAGTCACTGCAATGGTAGTTTGGGAAATCTACCAGGTAAGTCCTTAAGAATTATAAAGAGTTAAATCTTGTGTACTAATTATGTGTCAACTAGTTTGAAGAAAGACAAATGCCACAGAGTCATTGTCTTCTCTGTGCTACACTGTCTTCCCCATAATCCACCCCACACCATGTGTACTAATCATAATACCTCTCAATTCCCTTCTCCCTCCCTCCCAACCTGCCCTCCCCCATCTATCCCTTTGATAACCCCTAGTCCCTTCTTGGGAGTTTGTGAGTCTGCTGTCTGCTGCTGTTTTGTTCCTTCAGTTTTGCTTTGTTGTTATACTCCATAAATGAGGGAAATTACTTGGTACTTGTCTTTCTCTGCCTGCTTTATTTCACTGAGCATAATACCCTCCAGCTCCATCCATGTTGTTGCAAATGGTAGGATTTGTTTCTTTCTTATGGCTGAATAGTATTCCATTGTGTATATGTATCACATCATCTTTATCCATTCATCTTCTGATGGACACTTAAGTTGCTTCCCTATCTTGGCTACTGTACACAGTGCTGCAATAAACATTAGGGGTACATATGTCTTTTTGAATCTGAGAACTTGTATTCTTTGGGTAAATTCCTAGGAGTGGAATTCTTGGGTCAAACAGTATTTCTATGTTTAGTTTTTTGAGGAACCTCCATATTGCTTTCCACAATGGTTGAACTTGTATCACATTTTTTAAGTTCTCATGTGACATCACTGGCAAAAAAATATGAAATGTCAAATCAAGAAGCAATTCATTCTATTACATAGATTCTTCTTTTTCATACTCTTATTATCTTCGCTGTTTTTTCTCAATCATCCTAATGACCCAGATATCCTGTTCCAATATTTACTAGATATTTTGAGCTTTCATCAATTCCCTTATTGAGTTTACTTAATTTTGTCACTTCCATCATTATCATCATCAACAAACACTTATTGTGTGCCTACTATTGTCAAGATACGATGCTAGGCCAACAGTCTACAGAAATGTGAGACACTGCTATTGAGAGTATGTTTTTTCTAAATATAGTTGAGACAAAGCATATTCACAGAAGGATAAATAACAATTCACAAAAAGATAAATAATATAAGAGGCCACACTGGGATGAACAGCATAGCTCCCACTTAAACTTCCATTAAATATTTTTGACCTCTTCATATAAATCAGCACTTAATCTGCCTGATATCTAGGTGCTTGCATTTTTCTCTGGGCAGATGTACAGCAGGATATTCCAATTGTTTAGGGGAAAGTTACCTGGCTATAATAACATTTGAAGGACACCTAAATGTTTACATTTCATTCATGCTTTTCTCTTCTATTATTCCTCTCTCCAAGCCCCAATTATGCAAATCAAATCAGAAAAAAAGCTGAAGAAATTTTATAAGCCAAATGGAATAAAGACTCAAAACAAATACTATTTTCACCTGGGATCACTAGGTGGGGATTCAGAGACAGTATAATGAAAGGGAAATCCTTGATGTGGGCATGCAGACTGGGCTGATTTTAAGCATCCTAAAATGACTGAAGAAGGGTCACTTTGGCCCCTCTAAAAATTCTGGCAAAAACTAAGGTAGTTTGGGAAATCTACCAGGTAAGTCCTTAAGAATTATAAAGAGTTAAATCTTGTGTACTAATTATGTGTCAACTAGTTTGAAGAAAGACAAAGTATGCATTAAAAAACAAAACAGAACAACAGTACCAACAACACTAATCTTTTTTTCACTGTTTACCAAGTGTCTGGCATTTTCTAAACTCTTTACACAGATTATTTAACTTAATCATCACAACCACCTTATGAGGTTGGTACTATAGTTGATGAAAAAGTTGGTTTACAGCCTTAGGATTTTATGTACAGCATTAAGACAATTTTCTAAATAGGCAAAAACTATTTACAAAGTTTAAGTGAAAGACTGATAAACTTTACCTCACTTATAAGTCAAAAAAAAAAAGAAAATTTTAAGTATACAAATAAACATGAACATTATTTTCTAAATGTACAACAAAGGTTCATGATATAATGAAATAGTTACAGCAATGGAAGCTCATGAAGGCCTATTTAATGAAGACACACAAAGTAAATAAACCCAAAGAATGCTTATGAATGGCTGGTTTTGGAGCAATGTCAACAAAATTACTATCAGGTGTTTTAGTCAGTAAGATTAATTTCTCTTGGGAGCCAAGATGGCGACGTGAGTAGAGCAGTGGAAATCTCCTCCCAAAACCACATATATCTATGAAAATATAACAAAGACAACTCTTCCTAGAATAAAGACCAGAGGACACAGGACAACATCCAGACCACATCCACACCTGTGAGAACCCAGCGCCTCACAAAGGGGGTAAGATACAAGCCCCAGCCCGGCGGGACCCGAGCGCCTCTCCCCCCAGCTCCCGGTGGGAGGAGAGGAGTCAGAGCGGGAGGGAGAGGGAGCCCAGGACTGCTGAACACCCAGCCTCAGCCATCCAGACCAGAGCACACACAGAGTGCATGTGTGGGGCCCTGGATACTAGGGAAACAGGGCAGCAAGAACGGTGAGCGGGTACCGGAGGCCGGCGCTGGAGGACAAAAGAAAAGCG